AGGGAATGAGCAGAAGGCGACAGCTGGTGGCGGGGGAACGGGGTCGGCGGCGATGACGTCTAGTAATTCGGTGGCGGTGGCTGGTGGGCTGACGATGACGACGGCGACGGCGACGACCACAAGCGGTGCAGGGACAACAACCGCAGCGCCGGTGACGTTCAAGTTCGCGGCAACGAAATCGCCGGTCAGCTTCGTCATTCCCAAGAACAAACTGTCAGGCGCTATGGTACCGAGTGCGGCGGCAGCGGCGGCCGCGGCGGCCGCCGCCGCGACGGCGGCTGCGAAGGCGGAGGCGGCGGCGGAGGCGAAAGGCGCCGCTACGACTGGCGCAACCGCAGCAGCCGGGGCGGCGGCGGGTGGGGCGACCTCAGCTTCAGCTTCATCGGGGGCGGCGACGGCGTCCCCCGCCGCCGCTAGTGCCGCCGCTGCCGGCGCTGCGGTTTCCCCGGCGGCGGTAGCGTTACCTTCTCCGGCGGCGCCATCGCTGCAACCGCCCGCCGCCGCTTCTTTGCACGAAACTTCGACGAAAAAACCCCTGCCGCGGAAAACCAAGTGGGGACAGGATTTGACCCAAGATCCCGTCGTCAAGAGAGGCCGAGCGCTTGCGTTACAGGTGTGCTGTCCTTCTCCTCCCCCTCCTCCTCCTCCTCCTCCTCCTTCTCCTCCTCTTCTTGCCCCTCTTCCTCCTCCTCCCGTTGTCCAGATCCCTCCCCCAATTGAATTGACTATTGAACTGACTGTCTCCTCGATGCCGATCCTCCATTGGAGATGTGGTCGGATCGTTTGTCTTGCGAGGGCAAAATGTACACCTTGCGTCGTCTGGTTTGATTGCTATCTCGGTGCCGTACATCTTGCAATCAAACCAATTGGAGCTAGCAATCAAACCAGACGACGCAAGATGTACATGTATGTAGTCACGCTGTCTAACCAGATGACGCAAGATGTACGGATCGTTTGTCTTGCGAGGGCAAAATGATAGGTACATGTTTCAGGACGCACTGCGTTGAAAGGTACATGTTGCAGCATGGAGTCGTAACGTCCGGGCATCGTTGAAAAAATATATGGATGGATGAGCGGAAGGTAATAAGGGATGCGAATGGGCGGGGATGGGTGAAAGAGGGTGTATGGTCATGGTTGGCCTGGTTACATTTGCCTCGCCGTTCAGTGTGCTTCGGAAGGGTTAGTTTTTAATTACAATTGCTCACAGCTCGTCGGATGGACGAATATTTTGGAGGATCAAGCGATTACGTGTCGAATGGGATCAAGAGATTGCGTGCCTCCAGCTGGCGAACTAATTAACCGATGATGATGGTGGTGATGATGATGACCTAGCTGAACGATGAATGTATTGTTAGTGTAATGCAGCGATAACAACTTATGGAACGGTTGGCTCAGGAGCGATATAGATACTATGTATGTATGATATGAGGGTATGATATATGATGAGGGTTCGGCCTCCTGATGAGTCTGTATGGAACTCCGACGAAGAAGCAGCCTGTCACAGCCGCTCGTTTGTTGCCCTCGTCGCTCCCTCTCTGTCTACGGTTCACCGGGCAGTTCTCTATGGCGATATAGATATATTTGACGATATATATATATATATCTGATTCACAATGTGACGATATATATATATACGATATATATATATATATGATTTTCGTCACAGGTACCTTGAGGGCAGTGGTTGGTGGTCCCCACCACCTCAGAGGGGTATCAGTTGTCGGGTAGTTGTTGATGGTTAACCACAACCGCGGACGGGGGTTAAGGTGGATTATCACTTACAGTGTAATCGGTTCGGGGATTCTGCAGACTGTTGAGGGTTCAGCCTCCTCCTGATGAGTCGGTCGGTGAAACTCCGACGAAGCCCCTCGTTTGTTGTCCTCTTCTCCCTCTCTGCCTACGGTTTTTTTTTTTGTGCATATATTTGTGTATTTCTATTCATGTTTATGTATGTTGAAGCACCTGTTGCCTGCGATCATCCGAGAAAATCATTTTCGTAACGAATTGAAGTACTGGACGATAACGAACTGGAGCACACGTCAGGAGTTTCTTCAATGAATGTGAGCGCATTCTCAGTCAAATGCAGTCGAGAAAGGACTACTAATTTGAGTCTCCACTTGATAGTGATGGGAGCTTGTGAATGCGACACAGTAGGGGGGACCGAGCGGATTCGGGAAGGAGAACGGGAATACTTGTCAGCTTTATTTTATTACATAAATAAAGAAAGATTGCCTTGCAGACGATCGTCGGGTGATACATGTGTTTCCCGTTTTCTTTAAACGTTTTTTTTTGTTGGTTTTCTTCTTTCGATTCGTTTTACCGTTACTTTTCGTGTCCGTTTAAGGAGGAAAGCCAGCTCACCCTACTTCCTGACTACCGCCGATTAGGGCTGTGGAGGCAACATGCATCCTCTCTTGATTGTGACAGGTACCTATGCTTGCAGGGGTCCCCTGGAAAAATGCTCATGGGAAGTAGGGTGAGTGGAAACATGCATCCTCTCTTAGGAGTGGAGGCTGGTAGGTGGAAAGCCACATCTACGGAGATCGACAAGTATTTCTCGTTGTTCCTGGAAAAATGCTCTCTCAGCTTCTCAAAACCAAGCTCGGAGGACTAGTCAGTCTTGTAATCGGTGGCCAGCCATTATATGGTTTTCCTTGTTTTTCTCTAGAGTTGGAGCAAAGACGGGGTTCCTCGTATGTCTACAATTTTTTTTTTTTTTTTTTTTTTTTAAATTTTAGGAAGTGTCTACAATTAGGAGTAGTGGTAGGTAGGTAGTGTGAGGTGAAATTGAGAGAAGAATATAGCTTTAAAAAAAAAAAAAAAAGGGTTGAACAGAAAAAGAAGGGGGGGGGGTTGCCAACTGGCCTAACTCAGTTGGTACATCCTTGGCCTGCCTGTTGAAACACAGACCTGAGTTCGGACTCCAGTGAAAGCACATGGAAAAGCTACGACTACCTCCTTCTCCCGAATAGATTGCCGGGTCACCCACATGGTCACCCTCAACTCTTGGATCTGTTTGGTAATAGTTTCATGTGTTGTATCATTCACCCACATGGGCTGGGTGACCCGGCGTTCTATTCGGGAGAAGGAGGTAGTCGTAGCCATACTGCACAGCCCATGAGATCCTTGTTTGTTTCCCAACGCAAAGGAAAGAAACATTTTTGACTCCCCTGCTTTTCTTCCCTCCTTAACACTTCTCTCTCTCTCTCTCTCTCTTTCTGTTTCCTTTGGCTATTCCGCACGTCTTTCCTGTCAATGCCACATCGGTCCTTGATGCTCTCCTCTGGAGTCTGAAAAGGTTTCATGGTCGCGGGTTCAAGTCCGTCAGCCGGTTCAGCGTCCTTCACTCCATCCGTCTATTTCTTTCCCTCTCTCAATTGAATGCAAAATGATGGGTTAAAGTACCTTTTTTTGTTTTCGATTAAAGCGTTAGTTTCGTTTGGCGATGTTGTCGTTGCGTATTTGCTAAGTCGATAAATCAGCAAAAGAATCAGAGGTCTATCGAAGATTTTGCTGTTTTCTGTAAAATTGGATCCTTCTATCCATCATGAATCGATCGTCCATGTCATCCATTCATTCACGGATGCCATCCATCCATCCATCCATCCATCCATCCATCCATCCATCGGTCGGTCCTCTCTGGGATGCATAAGTCCACCATGTTCTCATTGCGCTTATCAAATCTGTTAGGGTTGTTCGTGTCTATCTACCGTTTAAAAATGTCATCATTTCATCCACCCATGTCATGCCATCCATCCATCCATCCATCCATCCATCTATCGGTCATGCATAAGTCCACCATATTCTGCTGCGCTTATCGAATCTGTTAGGGTTTGTTCATGTAAATCAACCGTTGGAACTTACCGAATCCATTCACGACTTTGATATCATTTATTCGACGAAAATTGAAATCATTTACGCCAAGAAAATTGATCCCCATGTAAATCGACCTCATGTGAACCCAACCCCAAGTAAGTCGGTTTCCATCCCCGAGTAAATCGACCCCAAACCATTACTCGGAGTTGACCCCCAAGTACTGGAAATTGACCCCTAGTAATCGATTCCCCAGTTAAATCCATGTTCAATTAAATCGATACCCATCTAAATCGACCCCTGACCGGGTCCTCATCGAAATCGGTCCCCAATTAAAATCGGTCTCCAAGTGCGATCCCCAAGTAAATCACCTTCACATTGCCACCACATTGCGTGCATGCGTGTAATAGAGAGTTTGAGCGACTGTGTCACAACCGCGGTCTCGTGCTTTGCTGTGTCTGACACCTTGGTGAGAGCCCTTTCCTTGTTGGGGTGAAAACAAGCGAAGTGCTTCTGACAGCCATTATGTTTGCAGAACCACTTTTTTAGCAGAATCTGGCTCTAATCGTCGCTATGTGAGTCCCGTGAAGTTCTCGAGGGAGAGGCGAAGAGATAGGGTGCAAAGGGAGGAGACCGGAAGAGAGTTGAAGGGAGGCAGAGAAGCTAGGAAGGGAGTTGAACGGACGGAGGAGGGAGGTGCCAGGGGAGGAAAAAGAAGGCAGAGAGGGTAAGCGGTTGGGAACGAGGGAGAAAACACGTGGTGGACAGTAGCGGAATGATGGGGAGGGCTGAAAGGAGAAGGAAAATTGGAAAGGAGGGGAAGGAAGGAGGCAAAGCGAGGATGGTAAAGATGAACGACGGAGGGAAGCTGTGCAAGAGAGAGAGAGAGAGGTAGAGAGAGAGAGAGAGAGAGGGGTATTATGTTGTCTATCCTGGTTTGCAAAGAGGGACGGAAAACAGCTGTGGGCATGAGAGGGAGGAAAGGAGGGCCGTACTATTGGAGGAACGGGTGACTTATAAGTACGTCAGTAATCAACGTAAATACAGAGAAGACGTTGCTTCATGCCTTGCCACGTCTGGTCTGGTATCCCACCTACACCTTGCGTTCACGAACTCCCCGTTCAACTGCATCTCGGAGACACGGTCGGAGATCTTCCAAGGACTGGCTAAATCCAGTGATCTCTTTTCACGACAGGCTATGGTCCCCGGAATAAACGACACGATGACTAGGCATGACGTGTTGTTGAAAGGGAGGTGGGGTTTGTTGAGAAGGTGGATGGAGAAGGGAGGCTGGAATTTGCAGGAAGGTAGAGAGGGGGGACGGAAAGGAGCGGGAAAGACACTGGCAATGACATCCTCGTCAGTCTTCCTTGCCCTGGGATTCGGTACTCGTAGGCCGCTGAAGTTCTTCAAGGTCATTTGTACATGTAAAGCAAGGTTTCACACAAATTACTAAATCAGGTAAAATCGAAGTCACCGACAGCAATCGGATAGAAATAGAAAAAAAGGGAAAAAGAGAATAATCGGATAGAAAGAGAAAAAAAGGGAAAAAGAGAATATACGTTCTTTGGTGGGGGGGGCAGTATTCGAATGTTATGTTCATTTTCACTGTTGGTAATCAGGGCATGCGGTTGGATTCTGACTTCTCCTAACGAAAAGAAAGGCGAAGGAAGATAAAAACAGTGTTGGTGTCGTTCTTGCAACTGACTGAGTGGGCAGAGAGCGGGCTTTGGGCGCGAACCCCCTGCCATCCCTGCCATCTTTGTTGCAAAAAAAAAAAAAAAAGAAAAGAAAAAAAAG